TTAGCTATGTAAGAACTATGGGAGGAAAACAGCAGGTTTCAAATATGCATATTTTCCTAGTCGTTTGTTTAATTTCAGATTATAAAGTGCACCCAATGCAACAGTCACTGAGTGTACCTACAAAATTAGAAAATGCTTCATAGCATGTTAACAAATATGGGGGGAGAGAACCCTGTCCACAAAATAAATGCTCATCCTCTCACCTCGCTTACTTAGGGAGAGGACTGGGGAAAGAGAGAGAGCTGGTATCTGAAATAGACTTGTATAGGGCTTTGATTTTGGTTATTAGACTGTTGGGTCCAGTGTCTTAAACATGTGCACATCATCCTGCTTTGACGAAGTGTGGGTGAACCTCTCTAATACTTGGGGTAAACAGGACCCTCTCCCTTTTCGTCAAGTTATTTCCCTGTAATTATTCACATCACTTTGTTCTTGCCTGATTTCAGCTATAGCCACCCCAGACTGTTCCAGTATCTTGACCAGGACCTGGAAAAGTAGAGAGTCTGCACCATTGGGTCCAGCAAAAGTCATAGATGTGATAGTCACCTGCATATTGAGATTTTAACTTTATCCCCTAGTGGCCTTACCTCCTTTTTAAGCAAAAGTGACAGAATAGAACCCCTTTCCCAAGGTACCACCCATGAGAGAGCCCTTGGGAAAATGAGCAAGAGCTCAACATCATCCACGGACATCTCTCAGAAAAGGAAGAAAAAAGCCACTCAGGCAGCTTACCCTAGGCAGGATGTGCAGGCAAGGTGTGGTCTGTGGTATCAAGCTTGTACTCAGATAAGAATAAAGGACATTTACCAGACATATTAAGAGGCCAATAGAAGATCTACACGGGGGAGGAACGGAGCTGAGGGTCGTACTGGAAGTGGGTACTTACCTGTAGCCTAGCCTGTGTGTGTAATATATCATCTACTCTTAAATATATTTTTGATACTCTCTAGGACATGGAATTCTTACAAAAATATTATGTTTACCTTACCTTGTATAGCCTCCTGAGAATAACTGAGTAATAAGCTTGTAATGTTGGTTTAGTGATTGCAACACATGAATACAGAAACATATATTCAGTCATATTTCTGCACACTATGTTCAGTGTGAAATTCACCATAGCGATTTCTCACAGTGCAGCTGATCGCTTAACTAAAAGCGCAAGGAAGTGTCTTCTCTTGTTCATTAGCTTATTAGACATGCTTACAAGTATATCATATAAGCCTTATTATAATTTGAAATGTAAAATGACAGTTCTCATCAGTACCATTGCTGTTATGTAATGTTGTTTTAATCTTTATTTTCTTTCATCAAATTAATTGTTTTCCTCTCCTAATTATTTGAGCATTGGAATGTAGGTAGCAGGCAGTAGTGTAGTTTTGAATAATAATGAGGAAAAATATGAATAAAACCTCAGTTTCACATGGAGGATTTCAAAGACCAATGTTAATAAATAATCAGCACGTCAAGGTTATAGATCACTGAAAGTTTTGTTAATTATTCTCAAAATATGAGAAGAAATGTGTATAGTGACATTGTATTTTGTGCTGAAAGAAGACAAAAAAATGAACAAGATGAATAAGTTTTCTTGTTTAGAAGCAGAAAGCATGGAGTTTGGTGGGAAATGTATGTGTCAGCTTTCTTTTTTAAAAGGTATATTGTAGATAATGTGGCAAACACATCCCACATGGAACTCTAACATAGGTTTTGTCTACGCTGTGAAGCCTGTGCTGGCATAGGTATGTTGGCATAGACCTCCTAATTTATACGCAGCCTACTATGATAGAAGGAGTTTTTCTGTCAGAGTATGAACACGACCTCTCCGAACAACATGAGCTACATCGACAGAAGCCTACTTCAGTCAATGTAGCTGCATCTACGCTGGCTGGCTGTTTTTTTCACACCCCTGACACAGCTATGTCGACATGACTTAAGTGTAGACAAAAGGAAACCAGGATAAATTGAAACAAGGAGATGAAATGCTTATAACTGACTTTAGGTAGGTTTTGGGAATCTATTTGAGCTTTATACAAGATGAGAGATCTGTCTAGAAAAACATGATTGAATCCCATTGGTGGGTTGCTCATTGAATGGGCATGACAGGTATTTTTTGTGACTTAGCAAATGGGAGCGTGTGCTTTGGGCCCATTGCTCTATGAGGATTATGAGATATGAGTGAAGCTTAGAGTAAGGCCACTGTGGTCTGTAAAGAAATGGAGATAATAAAAACATCCCAAAATTTTGGGGAGACAGGAAAAAGATCATCCATTATTGACAAATTATTTGAATCTTTCCTGACATCTTCCAACACCCAGTCCTCAGTTGGTGAACCCTTTTTCTGTCATCTCAAATGCTGAAACCCATTGCCAAAATTCCACTTCACAACAAACCCACACCCCAGGAGCAACCTGCCCTTGTGAATGACAAAAGCCTCTATCTTTAGAACTGCCAGATAATTCCAGGACTAAATCTTGCAGCATTACGTTTCTGAAACTGTAGAAAATAACTGGAAAAACAAACAAAACCAAAATTTTATTCAATTAAATATACAAATAGTAACACAAACTATACCAGACTGACTTTCATTTCAATTCCTATTGAAGTTAAAAACAAACAAACAAACAAACAAAAACCAAACAACACCCTCCCCACACATCCCAAACCTCTGATTTTGAACAAACATGCTCTCTCCAATTCCACCCTCACCAGCAATTTCACACAATCCCTTGTCAGATTCTTTACTGATATACCATAGAGATCACAACATCTGGTGCATTATTTAAGTTCAACCTATCACTTTAGAACTAGGAGCCTAGTTATTGGCTATATATTGTAATAACACTATCAGAGTTTAAAGTAGGCATGTTTAATGCTAATCTTGCTGTACTAAGGGAGTTAATTTTGCATTCCACCCTGGCAGTTCTAGCTGCTTTTTTGCAATCGTTGACTTGCTCCTCCAATCCTCCCCTCCTCCTGGCTCAACTCCTCTCTCTGCACAGAATCTCACCAATTTCTTCCAAGAGAAAATAAACAAAATATATCGTGACCTTCCCCCCACTTCCTAGCCAGAGGTCAGAACCAATACTATATTCTCATCTTTCTTGACCTGTGAACTGCGTTCAACACCATAGATTGTTCCTTTGCTTGAAAACTTGTCTTCCCTTTGCTTCTGTGACTGACCTCTCCTGGTTCTCCTTTTATCTCTCTAATTGCTCCTTCAGCCTGTCCCTTAGAAGATCCTCCTCATCCCCCACAACTTTTTTTTGTCTCTGTCCTTCTTCCCCTTTCTCCCTCTACACCTTCTCTGTGGATAATCTCATCTGTAAATGCAAATTCAACCACCATCTTTGTGCTGAGGAGTGACAGATCTACTTCTCTGTTCCAGACCGACCTTTCTGATCGAACTAAAAACTTGGTCTGCCTCCTTGCCATCTCCTCATGGATTTCTAGCTGTCAGCTCAAGCTTAACAGAGCTAAAACAAAGCTCTTCTGCCCCCCACCCCGCTCCACCTCCTTTCTCAGTCACTGTGGACACCACCATCCTGCCTGTCACTCAAGCCCATAATCTGGGTGTCATCTTTGATTTGGACCTCTCTGTAGGTCCTCACATCCAAGCTATGTCTAAATCTTGTCAACTCTTTCTGCATAACATCTCTAAGACCACGCCTTTCTTATCCATCCGCACCGCTAAAACGGTCATGCAGGCTCTCATCTCTATTATTGCAATAACTTTTTGTCTGGCCTAGACAAATGCAATCTTTCCCCAGTCATATCCACTAATGATGGTGCTGAAAAGATAATTCTCTTAAATTGTCATTTTGACCATGTCACCCCTTTCTTTGAATCCCTCTGTTGGTTCCCCCTTCTTTATTGCATCAAACGTAAGCTGCTTGCCTTTTGTTTCAAGGGACTTCATGACCTGTCTTCTCTCATTCACTGTTGAGATGACTACTCCCATCTCGATCAGCCAATGATGGCAGCCTCCATATTCCGCTTGCTAATTTTTCAAACAAGTGACTTTTTGATTTCTCCCAAGCTGCACCTGATGTTTGGGAGGAGCTCCTCATATACATCTGAAAAAGTACCCAGTTATTTTCCTTTGGATTCCTTCTTAAAACTCTTCTTTGCTGTGATGCCTACAAAAAAACCAACTTGATAGTGGTTAGGCAGCTGCTGTGCTAATTGCACTGTCTATCGTGATGATCAATATTGTCTCATTGTTTCTCTGTACTCTGCCACCATCTGTCTGTATTCATCTGCTGTTTCTTGTCATAGTCTTAGATTACAAGCTCTTTGGGTCAGGAGGTATCTTTTTTTCCTGTGTTCATACAATACCTTACGCAATGGGGTCCTGGCCCATGACCCGTCTCCTAAGTGCTGTGGTAATACACACAAATAAATAACGTGTCTTCAGTTCCCAGGCACCCAGAGAGAGGTTCCCACTCTGCTGGTGGATACTCTTTATGACCCTGCACATTTTATTGATGCACATGTACAGCTTCCAGAACACACTGAAAAGTTACTTGGCTATACCAATTTTAGCTAAATAAAATGGCTGTCTCACTAAGAAAATTGTTCCTTGAATTGAAATGTGAGCTCACTTTTGTTCTGTACTTGTCTACTTTTTACGTGAATTGCAGCTATAACTAACTTGAGTCTGGAGGAGGATTGATTCTTCACCTTTTCTGAGGTTTAACTTAATTACAGGAATACCCAAAGGAAATACCAATCAGCAGAGACTGCTTCAAAGAATTGCAAAGCATACTAGTGAAAATGAGGCAATATCATGTCCATGGCTGCTTCTAATTTAATTTTCTTAAAAGCACCAAACCTTTCGAAATACTGCCAGCCTTGAGAACTTTCTTTCTGTGCCTTAAAACAACACACAATAACTTTCCGCTCTTTTATTAATGATTTACAATAGTAGAATTATAGGTGCAAGGGAAATATTGTGTTGTACCCTGATGACATCTATGCATACTATACCAAGTAGCAGGAGGTACCTGTAAATGATACATGCGGTGTTCTGGCAAGTGCTGCAGTTGTTGAGGTCTTGGCCAGTGCGATAGAAGTTGCGCCTGCAATAGACAATAGCTGCTGTAATTTATATAAAAAAGCTGTGAACTGAAAAGCTAGAACTCTTATAATAGACCTAACCCCTCTTTACAGGCATTTTAAGTATCCTAATCACAAATGTGACACTAAAATTTGTTGCTAAGAATCTGGTTTAAAACCAACCAAAGCACATAAATTTATCATCTTGAACCTCTGCCCTTAAACTCATTTAAACTGTGGTGCTGATATTGTGTTCAGGGGATTCGCTGGAAAGCAGGTGATTTTGTACAACTGTTATCTCTTATATGAATACCTTTACAAGAACACTTCAATTATAAGAACACTTTTTGACTGGAACACATTTGAACTGTTTGCTATGCTTTCTGTACATCAAAATATCCTTTTTTTTTTTTTGCTTTCTACTTTTCCATTCCTTTTCTTTTTTCTTTTGTCCCCTTCCTTTGAACAGAAAAGCAAGGCAGCTAAACATTCTCATTGAATAGTGCCACAAAAGCAAATTGACATAAATGGCTGTATCAAAAAACAAGTTCTTTTCTGGTTTATCCTTTTTCAGCCTGTACCGGTTGGACAATTCTTTGTGTATTTGAAAAATAATTTAAGAAAACAAACAGTTCTCTTTGTAGCTACTAAGAAAGTTGATAAAACGAACAAGCTGGCAGGTTGCAGAATTGTTGTCACTGGAGATATTCAAGGCTAGGCTTGAAAGTCATCTGTCAAGAATGAGTTGGGGACAACTGCAGTAATTTAGTCATGCTGTAGAGGTACGTCCTGGGTGGTTCCTTCCATCCCAGGTGTACAATCCATTGAAGTCAATGGCAGCTTTATCTGCATAAAAAGGCTGTGATTATAGGATTCCCAAAATGATTCTCTAATGGCTTTTCTGAGAACTAATCTCAATCTGTTCTTTTCAACAGCAGTAGTGGTGCTACTCACAAAAGCAATGGGAATAATTATGACACAGTTTTAGTACCATAGTCAACACAGTCACCAAATGATTCTAGAAAGACAGATTGAAGCCTGTCACTGATGCTGAAACAGAGGCAGCTGAGGAGCTTTGCAGTAATTCAGTTTCCAACAATGTGGTAACAGAATAAAAAGGAAGAACAAATGTTGTAGAATGGTCTGCATTTCACTTTACAAGGTTGCACCCTTCTGGAATACTCAGATACATAATCATCAACAAGGCTTTTGTCAAATGAGGGCAGACTCTATTTTTGTTGTGTGTGTAGGGGAAGATATCTTCCTCCTCAGAGGTTCTGGAAAATTAGCAGAACTACTTCATGGAGGTTTCACCACTACATGCCCTGAGCTATCTCCACAGCCCTAGAAGGATCTCTTTGGCAGTAGGTCATCCAGCTACAATGTACGCCTCTCTTGTTCACTCCCTGCATCTTTCTGTAAAGACTCAGGCCCCAAATCATGATCCCAGGTCCTGCCCATCATCTTTTGCACTAGAGCCATGCTGTTCCTGCTGCTTGGGGGCCTTCTGCAAATGTGGAAGGAAGTGCAGGGATTCCTCTGTAGTGTAACTAGTGATAAGGATTAAATACTGCTAATGTACATGGCATGAGTTTAAAAATGTGCAATTATCTTATTTGCCTTTTGTTATTGGTAATTATGAAAGCAAATTAGGTGTGCAGTTAAATATGTTTTGCAAGTGCTAACGCATGTAGCTTTTTTTAAAAGAGAGATCCTTAATCTTCTTTGTGCATTTAAAAGGATTGACTAATTATGTGCAACATATTTTTAAAAACTAGAAACGATCTCTAACTGTTGTTAGTTTCATAAAGAGTTCTGAAATGTATTCTCAGCAAATATGCTCTTAAGTCTGAGCCAGTGGTTTAAACTTGGTGACATTCTGAACCCTGTAAAATGGTATATAAATGTCTCGCAACGTTAGTTTGACATTTTTAATAGTAAGGTGCCTGATCCTGCCACTGTTACTGATGTGTTGCAGACTTGTCCCATTGAAGTCCGAAATCTAATGCACAATTTGCATTCCTAAATCAGATGAGTAATGGTTGCAAGACAGAGCCAGTGATTGCACTGATAACATATAAAGCGTAAATGTGGATCATGGACTTTTACTTTCTATATTGGTAATAACAGAAGGGAAAGCAATAATTCAAAAACTTCTGCTGCCATTTCTTCAAATATGTTCTAGTTAATGATTTTAATGTGGTGTGTATATAGTATGTACGTGGGTTGGAATTTGTAGCCAGAGAGAATGAAGGTCTCAGCGAACCTGCAGAATGTTTATGGCACAAGTGGTGCCCTTATTTCTGTTCTTAAGACACCACCTTAAGGAGTGAGAGGGGCTTTCAGGTTCCGCGTTCTTTCATAGCTCCTGTCAATTAGCGCTATCTGTAACCATGCTTTTTTTTTTGTCACATAGTATCTTGCCCCCTTTTAATCAAAATATGATGGATGGACAACATAGATAAGCCCTAACTGATCTGATGTTTTGTAAGTTCAGTGCTAATTAATGCCAAAATGTAAAGACATTTGCTTTCTCTGGAGTGGCTCAAATCTATAAAACAGTAGAGAGAATATGATTTTGCAAACATTTTTTAAAATATTTCAAAGGAAGATTTTCAGTAGCAAACAGCCACTTCTGACTTTTTGATAAATTACTTAACAAAATAGTTTTTTAATATTAAAGTAAACCATACCCTTCACTGAGGGCTCTGGCTTTTTCCAGGTCTTGAATTACATTCAAAAGGACTTTAATCTTCTCCTGGTTTGAGTGTAAAGATTCCTCTATGGACTGCAGCTTGCCTTGTAGGGCACATAGTTCACTATGTGCCAAGTGAATTTGATTAATGTCTCTAATCTCCTTGTTGGTTTCTGGTTTAATTTCATTCCCTGGAAGATGGGACTTTATGTGAAAGTCTTCTAAATAATTGCAATACTCTGGAACATATGACCATGTAGAAGTTTTATCCATTTCAGTGTGACACAAGGGAATAGATTTTGACTCATTACTGCTGGTCAATGATGTTATTCCATGATTATCATTAGTCAGCACCATGCAATCAGAGCCTGTTTCAGGCTCTGTTGGCTGTTGATGATCTCTGAGAAAGCAGTGGGATGAACTCTGGTTCGACAGAGGTGATAATGGAGTGATTTCATTAGTGCTAGTGTCTTTAGTGGATACAGGTAACTCCAAAACACTTTTTTCTTCACAAGAGTCATAATGTGGATTAATTTCATTACAGTTCCTGGTATTGTTTAAGTAGGAGGGAGATTTTCCTGATTCGGATGGCAGTGTACAGTTTTCATTGGATTGGCTCATAGGAGAACGTACTGAATCATTTAAATCCATGGACATGTCTGAAGCATAAACGGAAGTGCTATTGTCCTGTGGAGAAGTCAGATGTATGTATTCAGGCACCTGTGTATAAACAGTTGCCTTTTCCAGTATTGTGGAAGTATCTGACGCTGAGTGGATAGGCCCATTGCTTTGTGCTTTACACTCTCTTTGAAATAACTGATTGGATGTCTTGGCTCTTCTAGATCCATCTTCCGAATGTTTAGTTATTCTTAAGTAAGAGAGGTCCAAAGACATGTCTTGCTCAGAAAGATTGCCGTTGACTTGGATAGAGCATTCCGGCTCAGTTGGCATTTCCATTAAAGACTTACTTGTTGTCAGTTTTTTCTTTTTAAAAACTGGAAAATGCTTCCTGAGGCTGGGAGAAGTTTGAATAGCAATATTCCGATGCCCCTTCTGAGCCCTTGGGAAAGAGAGAGAATAGTTTGGCAGGTTATGGTGCCTAGATATTTGTGCCTTTCCAATCATGAGCGTTGTGTCTTTGGCAGGTTTAGCGTCCATTTCAGTGACACCAATTGGCTTCTTGTTTGTACTATCCTCTTTGAATCGGACTTGCTGAGATTTGCTCCTGCGGTGGTGTGGCTGCCTCATAAAATCAACTGAATCCAGGCTATTCCGTTTGAGTAATACAGGGCGCATTTTCTTGTTTTGTTGGGCCATTGAATCACGGTTTGACGCCTGCAAGTAATAAGTTTCTCTGCGACCCATTTCATTAGGCCATTCGAACAGCATCTGGTGGTTATGCTCCAGATGCAAATGAAGACTTTAACTAATGATTAGGAAACTAATTCTTTTCATTCTGTTGGTTTTTATTTATATTTCTAGGTAATCTATGCTATTTTGAGATATTCTTTCAATTTCTCCCCACATTTACCAATATTTTGTTACAGAGAAAATTATTAGTTAGACCAATCACCAAGATAAACTAAATTTAAAAGCGGCAAAGATTCCTGTGGCACCTTATAGACTAACAGACATATTGGAGCATAAGCTTTCGTGGGTGAATACCCACTTCGCCAGATGCATGTAGTGGAAATTTTCAGAGGCAGGTATAAATATGCAAGCAAGAATCAGGCTAGGGATAATGAGGTTAGTTCAATCAGGGAGGCTGAGGCCCTCTTCTAACCCTAAATAATTTAAATATCCAGTCAAAGGAGAGCATTAATGGAGAGAGAATTTGGAATTCTTAACGTTTACATTCTGAAACTAATCTTGGTTTCTCTTACAACAAAAGTATAAATTACAGTAGTCAAGGTATGTTAACTGTTAACTACTGCAAAGATAAATTAGTCAACCACCTTTTCTAATGCCTACTTAGCTAACAGTTAACCTTTCGCAAGAGATTCAAGTTTTGAACTGTGGACCACTTAAATATTTCTTATTTTCATAGAATGTAAATAACATGCATAATAACTGTTTTGGGCAATTGCTTTCCTGATGCATAGCTTTGCTGTAGAAATAGACCCATTAATATCAAACAGAAATTCTTCCTGCAGTGTTGTTGTTTGTTTTTTCTTCTTGTCCCATCTTTTTACTTTAGCAGCTGAAACTAATCTTCTCAAATAGCCAAACAAAGCCAGTGGCTTGTGACCAAGCAAATATATAGCATCAAACAGGATTCAATAATTGATGTATAGTCCTTGCTCTAATTCATGCAAGTACAAGACTGAGCGTGTCTGAGGGACTGTATCATTCAGATGAGATCTGTAAACACTTTGGCCCCAGGAGAGTGGTCCAGACCAGATAGTCAGCATTTGCAGAATAGCAGACAAGTGTTTTCTGAAAATAAAAAGACAATAGTTGCAATTGAACACTGTTGAATACCATTGAAAAGTCTGTTGAATACTATTATTTCTTCCTGCTGTCTCTAAATATTTTTCATCTGCAGTACTCATGTGAACTTTGTAGTGGGATGTCTTAAATGGGAAACTGAAAGATGATGATTCAACATTGTGAAGCACATAGATATTTATCTACTGTGAAATATCGGAACACAACCAAATATATTTTCAGAATATATATTCAATAGAACAGTTTTATTTCCTTTGGCAGTGTGATCAGGATTGCACATTTATGCTAGTTATGGAACTGAACCTGAAATCGCAGATATGGACCTCCAAAGACTTTGGAGAAATCTAGTTCCAGATCTGAAATTGGCTGCTTGAGCTCATTATGTTTGCAGTGGTCAGAAAGCTGGAAAATGCACATGAAAGCTCTTCAACTTAGAGCAAGTTAGGGTTCAAATCTAATTCTGAATCTCTATTTTGCAGCTCAGGTGCATCTAAAATATAGTTGTGTGAATGTGTATAGCCTGGGATCCACCAGAGAAAGTGATGGTGGATCAAGTTAAATGTTGCAAGTGAAACCTTTTGTAGGCTTGTGAAATTTATCTCCTGTGAAGTATAAAATGATTGGTATTTATGAATAAAGTCTCTCTTGCAAGAAATTTGCCTACATCTGTCTGTTCTATTAAGCTACATTTTATCACTTCTCTTTTCAATCTCATAAAATATCTATAAACATTTTGGTTATACGGTAAGCCTTACCTTGCTGAAAAATTGTTAGGACAATAGTGTAATCATAAGCAGAAAACAATGTTTCTGTTATAAATAGAGATCAGTTTAGTATGCACAAAAGTGTTATAACCTTGGGAAAAACCCTTTTTCTGCAGCCATAAAATAAATTGCCAGCTATAATCAAAAATGTTTACTTCATACCATTAACCCTTTCTTAACTACACTATGTCCACTGATCTATGGTATCTACCTGAAATCCACAACATTCCAAGCTTGGCAGAAAATTTACCACAGCCACTATATTAGTAGTGACAATAATTTATCACAAAAATAACATTTTCCTTTTCTTTCCCCCACAGTATTCAGATTCAGATGAAACAAGTAATGAACGTTACAAAACTGAAGTCCAGACTTGGCTTTTGTCAGTTCTAGACCAATGACCGTTTTAAAATTTGCTTTCACTCAAGCTGCCAGGGCTGAAATTGTATGTTGTGATATACCAGGTTCACGTCAAGAACATCATACTTTACTTTGGCAGCATGTGTACACGCATACTGTACACTCTCTTTATTTACCCACATATTGAGCAGATTTCAAACATCAGGAAGGCTGAAGTGAGATCATTTTATTGTACCTCCTGCTTTTAGATAATAGTTTCTTTCCTCATCTCTCCACGTCAGGACACAAATCTCAGGAATCCTTTGCTTTGCAGATTGTTCATGATAAAGCTACTGGAAAAAACACGTTAAGGGAGAGCTGTTCTGAAACTTTATTTTGGAATTTAATATCTTAAACCACATTGGGATAGTACTTTCTGTTCAAATTGTCAAAATACCCATGTTGGTTGTAGAAAAGCCATTTGAAAACCATTAAAATAGAACGCTACCGTTAATGTTTTGGTAAAGGAAATTTAAACTCTGTTAAAATGGATTCCATTTTAAAACTTCACCTTTATAACCCCTTACTAGGCTAAACTTATTTCAATGTGAGCCATGATTCCTTGGTTCTGTTAGCAAGCCAGTAGAAGATCTAATAAATTAATTCCTCAGGATCTCTCAAGGGCTAATTTTTAAAAGGGCTGGAGCTCAGTCTCCCTTTTGTGGACACAGTCTTCACTCTCAAACTGAGGGCAAAGATCAGAATACTTTAGCTATCTGATTTATGCCTGTAATCATGTGGTTTGACAAGAAAATGTCTGGAATCCAGGTACAAATTCTGCCACTGTGAATTATACTTGAAAACAGGAGAGCTCTCCATCTTCACCCTTTATATTCTGTGTCTGAGCTTCCCCGTCTATTCAATGGGGATAATATTTATATAGAATTGTGAGGTCAAATGTTTGTGAAATAAGAAAAGAACATAAGACCGGCCAGATGGGGTCAGACCAATCGTCCATTTAGCCCAGGGTCCTGTCTTCCAAGAGTGGCCAGTGCCAGATGCTTCAGGGGGAGTGAACAGAACAGGGCAATTTATCTAGTGATATATCCCCTGTCATCCAGTCCCAGCTTTCAGCAGTCAAATATTTAGGGACACTACAGCTCACTTCATCGGATGTTAGTCTCTAAGGTGCCACAAGTACTCCTTTTCTTTCTGTGGATACAGACTAACACAGCTGCTAGTCTGAAACCTGAAGTATTACTGTGGCTCTTTGACAATGTACATTGGTAAATTCTGGCTCCTTCTCAGGTTCAGGTTGGCCACCCCGGATCTACTGACTTTGTAATATTTGGGCTTTGTTACATTGTTTATAATAATCAGAGTTATGAAGGCAATGAGAGTGTTGCTTATGTAAAGATCACAGATTTGGGTCCTAACCTGTAGTAGAAAACCATTTATTTTAAAAATCTTTTTCTCAGTGTTTTATTTTCTCTGTACTGTCTTTCCTTTTCTCCCACCTCCATAATGGATGGAGTTGCCATCTATTATGTACAGGAATGGTATGGTGATAAAGCTGTGGCAATGTCATACATTCCTTATTCTGGCTTTATATACAGAGAGGCTCAAGACACGCATGAGATCCTTTTCTGGATTTTGACCTCCCTAAATTCGGGAGGTGTTTGAATCTAAATCTAAAAACTAGTTTAACACTGCCAGAAGTGGTCCATCAAAACATGTTCTGGACAAGCATGGTCCAAACCGAAATGTATAATATCTCCTCTTCTTCCCAGTAATAAAGCAATATTTTGATGGTTTTGCACTATATATCATGTGCTGAATGGAACATAAATCATTCTGATTGGCTGTTGGTGCTCTTTGTACCAAATTAAACCAGATCATGCATAACAAAATCCATAGAGCCACTTTTAAATTTTAATCTTTTAATAACAATAATGACTTTGGTGTAAGGCATTTTCTGGGGATTAATGACTGCCAAGGGTTTAATGACCTTCTAACTTGCCTCAGGCCATCAGCTCTCCTCTTGTCTCTCATTTCCTGGCCAGCCATTCATTAATCCTCAGGAAGTGCCTTGTGCTTCAATCGTAATTACTTAATTAGCACAGTGGCTCTGTTCCAGTGTCTTCATGCAGTAGCCACTGAAGCAAATGGCTAGTTTGATGGCTAATGGTTATTATTAATCCCTGTATTAATAACAACTGTTTATTTCAGACTCTCCTTGTCACTGAATATAGAAATCTCATTTCCATATTTTATTTTTAATCAGCGTATTTTACAGTTGTTTGTGTTCATAACCTATGTTCTATCTTGTTGGAGTGCTGGAGCAAGTTAAATGCTCAGTAATTCACAAGAATTCCCTATTTGCTATGTGCAGAGATTTGTCTTGTGTTTGATTCTGTTTTAAAGGAACATGTACTGGTTATTGGATGCAGTTATAGGGAATAGGAGTCCTTTTTGTTTCTATACTTATCAGTATTGAACTTTGTGTCCTGTATATTTGTGAAACTGAGTTTGTAGGTAGTGCAGTTTATTTTTGTTTAATTCACCAATGCACATAGTTTTTGTGTATCTAAGATCACATTTTATAATGCATGTTGTCATGACTAAAGGGCTTGTTGTACCTCTGATCCTTCCTCTGGTCTCTGAGGTCTTTCTGAGGGTGGAATCACAACATTCACCCACTCTTAGACTGGGTCACAGCCAATATTCCCTCTAATTTTTGACAGGCCGTGTGCGCAAAAAATTGCTTCTGTGCAAATTTTTGACAGGCTGTGTTCACAAAAAAATTCTTCTGTGCAAATTGTGCTTCTGTGCAAATTTTTGTGCGTGCGGTGTTACGTCGTGTGTGCGGGGTTTAGGATCTGTGCGCACGCGCACATCTGAGAGGGAACAGTGGTCACAGCCTATATAGCGCCTTGGACTGTGATTTCTCTGCAGTTAGGCTGAATTTGGCCCTGGAAGTTCTTGGCTTGGAGAGTCTGTGATGAACAGTATATACAGTGATCAGACAGCCTCCTCCAAGCAAAGCATTGTTTTAATACCACAGGAGGAGCAGAGCAGAACATGTGAGAGAGGGGAAAAATAAAAAAAAAAGATTTTTAAAACCACAGTAGGTCTACATATATGCCTCTTACTTTGAGACTTGCCATGCCCTGGCATAGACCCTAGACAGGTCCCTCTTTAGTCCAGAGCAGAAGTTCCCAAACTGTGGTATGTGAGCTTCTTGGAAGTGGTTTGTTCTGTCCCTTTAAGGGCAGTGTGGCCTGAGACCAGTGAACTTCTGTTCAAGTACATGGCCCTTTAAGGCAGTGGTTCTCAACCTTTCCAGACTCCAGTACCCCTAATGCTCTGCTTGCCACCCCCTAATGCCAGCCCGGCACTTGCAAGCCCCTTAAACCTGTCCTGTAACCCCCAGGTTGGGAGGCATTGATCTAAATCAGTTGACATAAAAGTAAATGGCTCAAGCATCAGTCCCTTAAGTGGTGGTGGATGAGCCTCAATCTGAAGCCATTGTTCTCTTTTGTACCTGGCTCTAGATAGACAAGGTGGGGGAGGTATTATCTTTTAATGGACAAACTTCTGTTGGTGAGAGAGACAAGCTTTTGAGTTTACACAGAGCTGTTCTTCAGGTTTGGGAAGGAGAGTCCGAGCTAAATACAAGACCGAACAGATAGTTTAGCACAAGTAGTTAGCACACATTCTAAGAGACAACTCAAGATGAACTGACTATAGGAAGATAGTTGATTTACCCCAGAGGCAACATGGGTGAGGTAATATCTTTTATTGGACCAACTTCGGTTGATGAAAGAGACAAGCTTTTGATCTTACACAGAGCTCTTTGGTAGTTCTGTGTAAGCTCAAAACTTG